GATCAGGTAAGATAACGTGTGATGAGAAGTACCCAGCACAGAGCCAGTACTCCAGTGATAGTGGTTTTTGTTCCTCCTTCCCCTCACCTTGCCAGCTGCCCCCAGTCATGCACGCACATGCACACATGCACACACACGCGCACTCGCACATGCACACACGCACACACACAAACATGCACGCACACATGCACACACACATGTGCGCACACATGCACACACGCGCGCGCACATGCACACACGCACGCGCACATGCACGCACACATGCACACGCACACACGCACGCACACATGCACATGCGCGCGTGCGCACTTGCACACGCACACACACACACATGCGCGCGCACATGCACACACGCACACACACACAGGCTGAGGGTTGTGGGAAGACTAAATCTTTCTCCCTGAATCCTCTTCCCAGCTCTCCCACCACTTTGTATCAACTGTGGTCATGGAGATGAAACAAGTTCCTCCATGGAAGATAAGAAATCAAAACATGTGCAGTGTGCTTGTCTGGAGAGTATAAACGACTCTTCATTATAATGTGGGAAACGAAGTCTCAAATTAAAAATAAAAGGAGGCATGATGTAGTCTTTGCTGTACTCCACCACAGAGGAGAGTCATTGTCATACAGTCACTGAGAATATTATGTTGATTGGCAAGAACTGGACTTTGTAGAAGGGACAAAATTCCCCACAGCTAATCTACAATGGAATTGTTCAATGTCAGGCACAGCTTTAATAATATTGTTCTGGGCTGCGTTGGATGTAAATATCCCACGCTTCATTTTGTAAGTAATCAAAGAGAAGCTTCATAGACAAGAGACAATGAGTGGTTACAGTATCTGTGCCGAAAAACACATGGGCAAAATCGAAAAATCAAAGAACACTGCGCCTTAGAAAGCCTTCGCTTTGTGGCTTATCTCCCATTTCCTATGTCTGTCCAGCAAATTGCAAGTTAGATACATAACAAAAGACTGCACTTTAAATGCAGTCCTTGACATTGTTAAAAAGTACAGAATTAGCAAATCAGACTGGGAAAAAAAATCAGACTAAGTCTGGACCGTCAGGTAATCGCCCCTTCATCTTGTCACAGTGCCTAGAATGACAAAGACAAGGAATCTCATTTTTTAAGCACTGCAGTGTGCTTGGGCGCTTTGCCTTTGTCAGAAGCAGTATCAGGACCTAGATTCACAACCCAGCTCTGCTGTTTTCTAGCTGTGTGGCCTTGGGCAAACAAGTTACTCAAGCAGTCTGTGCCTCAGTGTTTCCACCTGTAAAATGGCGATAATACATATCCCACAGGATTGTTTAGAGGATTAAGTAAAATAAACTTTTAACTCAGGACCCAAAACATACCAGGCATCAGTGGTGGGTGTTGTAAATCTAGTTTTAATCTGCACAACAGCCCTGTTATGGGTTGAATTGTGTCCCCCCAAAAGATATGAAGTTCTACCCCCAATACCTGTGAATATGACTGCATTTGGAAATACGGTCTTTGCAGATGGTCCAATTAGGATCAGATCATTAGGATGTGCCCTTGTGTCCTTAAAAAAAGGGGAAATTTGGACACAGAGACACAGCAGGAGAACACCATGTGAACATGGAGGATTGGAGCAATGCATCTACAAGCCAAGGAACACCAAAGATTTCCAGCAAACCACCAGAAGCTAGGAAGAGAAAAGAAAGGATTTCTCTACAGGTTTCAAAGGGATAATGGCTCTGCTAAACACCTCTATTCTGAACTTCTAGCCTCCGTAACTGAGAGACAATAAGTTTCTGTTATTTTCAGCCACCCAGTCCTCTGTTACAGTCCTAGCAAACTAATGCAGCCCCCTTTGGGGAATAAAAACTATCCCTATTTTCAGATGAAGAATTGAATCCCAGAGAGGTAAAGTTTACCTCTCAAGCTCACTCAGCCACAGGTGGTCAAGCTGGGATTTGAACCCAGGCCTCTCTGACCACAAAGTCTGCCCTCTCTCCATTCACTGTGTAGCCTCTCAGGAGCTGAGATTGGGATAAAAAAGAAGGTAAGGTTGGAAATGAGTCCCCATTCATTACACCAGATCCCAGTGGAGGCACCTGGTCAGAGTGGTCTGATTATGAACAGCTCATTAAGTAAAGAGCAGTGAGCGTTTGAGAGTGACTTTTTAAAAAGAATCGACTTTTATTTATAGTGACGTTCCAGTCATTAATTTCAAAGGAAGAAAGCCCAAAGCAGAAGCAGGTTCATTAAAAATTTGACATTAGTAATTTAATTAAATTGGGTCTTTGCGTCTCGTTGCGGAAAATGAAACGTTAGTTCTACACCAGTTCTCAGCCTATTTCCCCTGGTTGGCTCCCTCCCCTCACCTTAGCTTGCTTTCTTCTCCAAATGTTTACCTGACCTGCCCCTCCCTCCTCCAGTACTCATAAACACACACATCAGTTACTGCCTCTCTTGTGAGCCAGCAGCAGGAGATCATGGGAAATGCCATGTGAGCCAGCAGCAGGGGATTGTGGGAAATGGCAAGTGAGCCAGCAGCATGGGATTGTGGGAAATGTCAGTTGAGCCAGCAGCAGGGAATTGTGGGAAATGACAAGTGAGCCAGCAGCAAGTGATCGTGGGAAACACCAAGTGAGCTAACACCAAGGGATCATGGGAAAAACTATGTAAGCCAGCAGCAGGGGATCATGGGAAATGACAAGTGAAACAACAGTAGGGGATCATGGGAAACACCAAGTGAGCCAGCAGCGGGGCATCATGGGAAATGCTGAGGGGCCTACAGACAGCAGGATAAAGGTAAATCCTTTCATCCAAGTCATCTCTCTTGTCAGAGGTAGAAAATGGGCAAGGAAGAGCTCTTCAGTCCTTAAGATGAACTCTCCCACAAAGTACAAGCCTCTGAGGGCAGGGACCACAGCTATATTCCCAGTGCCAAGCACAGTAGGCCCACAATAAATTTCTGTTGCCTGACAGAATTGATACATGAATGAATAACTCCCCAAACAACTGACTAATGAACACACACGTGTCCCTACAAGTGCCAGGCACCGTCTCAGTCCCCAGGATACACCCCTGAACCAGACCAGGCCCCTGCCCTCATGGCCTTGTGGCCCAGTGGAATGAGAACATCTGCTACTTTTTGAGCACCTACTATGTGCCAAGCACTCTGCCAGCCATGCATCATTAATTATCTGTAACTCCCTCCACTGCTAGATGTTAATGGCCTCACTCCTTTTTCAGTTGAGGAAATGAAAGCTCAGAGAGTTAACAGAACTCAGGGTCACACAGAGTAACACAGTGATAGCACCTGGTTTCATACCCAGTTTAGCCATTTCTCTCTACACGAAGTTGTTTCCTCTCAGAAAGGAAGGAGAAGGGAGAGGGAAGACCTTCTTTCTGAGGGTTCTGTGATCATCAGCACTGGAAGACAGGGTCCTGGAAGGTAGTTGCCCACAGCAAGGTGGGCAGGAAGAGGGTGCTGCAAGTGCTTAGGAAGCCCTCTAGAGTCCAGGCCTGCCTGTCTCCACTTCCTCATCACGGCCACCTCACCCTCTCACTCCAGGCTCCCCGAGCTCCTAGGTTATCTCCAGCCTCAGGGCCTTTGCACATGCTGTTTCCTCTGCCTAAAACACTCTTTTTGGCCTAGCTAGTTCTTATTGATCTCTCAGGGTTCAGCATAGATGTCACCTCCTCCAGGAAGTCATCTCTGACCTCCCCCCAGCCCCAACTGGGTTTGGTCCCCTGCCTGGTGCCTATCCCATCATAGCACTTAGTGTGCCTTTAATTGTGCACATCTCCCACTGGACTGGGAGCTTAGATTCGCTTGTGTAGCACTCACTGTACACCAGGCTCTGTCCCAAGCACTTTGCATGGCTGAACTTCTTTCTCACAGCAATGAAATCAACGTGAGGAAGGTGGTGGTGTGATCCGCTTCTTAAAAATGTGGAAACTGAAGTGCTGAGAGGTTAAAATACTTGCTTAAGATCCCACAGGTAGTAAATTATTGGACTGGGAAGTGAAGCCAAGCTCTATGGCTCCTGAGTCTATGCTCTCTACCACCCCGCAGTACAGCTTTCCAGAGACAGCCTTGATAAATCATCTCCGGGTAGATTAAAGGAGAGGTGCCTGGACAGCAGTCAGTGTGGCAGAGACCCCTCATTCTTGCCCTATTAAGGCATCCTGGAATGGTGGGAGACGTGACCTTCAGAGCACAGGCAGTTTCAACTTGGCTAGAAAGGCAGAAGGCAGGGGGAGCTGCGTCAGGTGGAATGGGTGACTTACAGGCATAGAGAACCAGTGTCCTCCCTCCCTCCTCACTGGCAGGTCACAATGCTCTTGCACACTGACCAAAGCCATTGTCTCTGGATAATGCGAGTGCTCTTGCAGCCGGCTGCGATTGCTCTGGCTCGGCCACACACTGAGTGTTTTGTTCCCAGCTCCCATTTTCCCCTCTCAGCGGGACAGGCTAGTGAGGACTCAGGTTCTTGTCTTCCTGCCTCACTGCCTGTTCCATCATTCACCAACCCCTTCAGCTACCCTGCTGGGCCAAAGTACCCCTGTACCTGCCATGACAGATCACACAGGAAAGGACATTGGATTTAATGAACACTTACTTGATGCCATGCTCTGTGTCCCTTCCCTGGCACTTAGTGAGAAGGAGTTTGGAATCTGAAATCAGGGCAACCATGCCCAAGAGATGAAAGTATTTTCCCTGGGGTTGCATCTCTAGTGATCAGGACGGACATACTTCACATCCAAGGCCGTGCATTAGAGAAAGCGAGAAACCTGGCCAATTGTAAGTCTCAAGTGTGGTGGCTCCTCCTTAAAGTGTGACCTCTTTCGAGTAACCCATTCTCAGGGTATCAGCAGCTTTGAAAGGCAAGCAGATTGCAGTGGCCAATCCCATTCTACAGAAGAAGAAATGAGTCCCAAGGAGGCCGACTGGCCTAGGGAGGTGCTGCTAGGAAGCAGGGGTCCAGGCTCAAGCCCAGCTCACGGGCTGCATGTCTCTTCTCACAGTTCTCCCCAGTCACACGTGTGGGAACCCAGGGAGGCTGCCCAACGGCATCCAGCAGGGCTCAACCTTCAACCTCGGCGACAAGGTCCGCTACAGCTGCAACCCCGGATTCTTCCTGGAGGGCCACGCCGTGCTCACCTGCCACGCTGGCTCCGAGAACAGTGCCACGTGGGACTTCCCCCTGCCCTCCTGCAGAGGTAGGTGGGAGGCGGCTGGGCGGGGGTGCTGGGGCATCCAATGGGATCCAGTCTCAAGGGGAAGAGTTACACTCCAGAAGGGCATGGGGTGTCCACTATGGGGAGCCCACGTCTGGGGAGCACTGAGGGTCCTCGGGGTCTCTAGGTATTCTAGGGGCTTTTCAGCTTCACCTGAGCTTCTAGCCCTCAGGTATGCAGTCCCTCAGTTTCCTTCTCCTTGTGTCAACAAACTTACTTTCACCCAGTCTAGCCTTGTCTCCTACCCACCTGTCTCAGAAGGAACATTGTTTCTCTTCCCGTTACAGACCATCTCCCCTCTTGTGCACGGATGGCTCCCCCAACAGCTTTTGCACTGACTGCTCCCCAGCAATTATTTTTTCTCTTTCCTGTAAATTCAGCATCTCTCCTAATCTAAGGGTTTCTTCTTCTCAGCCTCCAACATGCTCAAAACCTCTTTACCCCAACAACTCCCCCACCCAAAAAACCCCACCTGTCTTCAATGCTATGTCTGCTTCAGCATCCCAGCTAGGGAAAACAGCTTGTCCCCATTTGCCCAGGACTTTCTCATTTGTAGCTCTGAAAGTCCCATATCCTGGAAACCCCATCAGTCCCAGGCAAACTGTGACATTGGTCACCCCACTCCTACCCTATTCTTTATTGCCCACCCCACCTTACCCCCATAATAGCCAAGCTATTTCTAAAATAATTTCCGATGGTTATTATCTGATGATAATGATAATACATGATCATTTTTTTAAAGCTTAGAAAATACAGAGAATAAAGAAGAAATAAAATGTACCCATTTTAATTACGATTTTTGTGTATTTCCTTTCCATTTTCCAATACATATTACAAATATGTATATAAATTGAGATTATAATGCATGTAGATAATTTTTAACCACCATTGAAAACCTAGCACATCGCACTGTAGGATTTCCCCATGCCACCAATAAAGCCTAGTGTCCTGAAGGTGCCATCCAGCCCCATCTCTCCTTACTTCCCATTGACTTCTGTGCAGACTGGCCTTTGCTCCCAGTATTCTGCATCTTATTGCCAAATCAGATGGGAATTGTTTTTGCCATTATATTCCTTGACCTCTTATTGGCCTTTTGTCCTATGGACCGCTTGTTTCTTCTTGAAACTCTCATCTTTAAATTCTGTGGATCTACAACACCTAGATATCAGTTTGGGAGGATCATCTCAAGGAGTTGAGGAATGATTAGAACAAGTAGCTCCTTCTTGTGGTTCAAGTTTTACTTTTCTCTTGGAAGAAGCTTTTTTTCTGTAATTACTTTCAAAAAACTAGGTCTAGGGAAAAGCAGCCCCCTCCTCCTGCTATACGTGCACACTTTTTATTATGGACACCAGGGATGAAAATTACTTGGCACATGTACCTATTCCTTTTCTATTCCTGTGGCAGACATAATTAATTGATCACAGCACCCTTTCTGGTTGAGTCCAGATACAGCTGTGAATTCCCTCTCCACAGGCAAGGCACACCCAATCAATCTAAGTTGCCACTTGATTTCATGGTTGTTTACCCCTCCTCAACCAAGAGAATCAGCCTCAGCCATATTGATCCTCCTTGGTGGAGCCCAAGGGAACTAGATCCCCTTTCCTGCCTTCCTAAGTCCCATCCTCCCAGGGTCCGTTTCTAACTTAATACCTGCCTCTTTTCAGGGGATTGAAATCAGGAATGACCAGACCCATCAGGTGAGATGGCCCCTGCACAGCCGCCTGCAGTGGCTGCATCTGCCCTTCCTTACAGCGTCCCTATCCACCCCCTGCCCTGGGGATGTCACAGCTAACATTCTGAACTTCCAAGGACGGTGTCAGAGTTGCGACATGATAATAGAATATGAAATATGATAGTAAATGACATCAGGTATTTAAGTTGTGAAATGTAGATCACAATTCTCTTTTCGCAGCACTATAAGTATCATACTCTTTGTTCAAGATAGAAGCTAAAAACAAATGTAATCCAAGTACCAAGGATGCAGAGGGGGTATCACCCTGTCCTGTGACGTATAATTCACAATAATATCCCATGCTAATAGGATGGAAACCCACTATCTCTCCCAATATCTTCAGGAGTCTGTGTCAGCTTTTGTTTCCTCTGAACTTTGAACTCACTGCCATGCAACACTTCCCCTCGTTCTGCTCTGCCAGCCTTGGTAGGAAACTTAGCCCACTTTTCTTGACTCCCCCCCCCAAAAAAAACCAAACAAAAACACAAACGAAGGTGTTTGCATGTAGTATGGCCTTTATTAAAGGTTTGTGGCAATTCGGGAAGTTTGCATCTCAGCACTGCAAATGGCTTAATGAAGTTTGAGCAATCACAAACCTCAAAGTCTTTTGGCCCCTTCTCCCTGGAAGCTTCTCCCTGCCTTCTGTTTTGGCAGTCTCCAGCTTCCCCTGTAATCAAGGTGGAAGAGGCTGGAGAAAGCTTCTTCCACCTTGATGCGTCCTGCACCTTGGTCCCATTTCAGGACTTCTAGCAACTTCTTAGGCTTGGTAGCCTGATTTCCTCTGGGTTTTGTCTAATGTTTCCCTTTCCTGCCCAAGCTAGTTAGGTATAGGAGGTATTTTCCTGAACAAAGAGAACTCTCACCCTGAAAGAAACTCTGGGGCTGGCTGTTAAAAATATCTCTTTTGTTAATAACCCCACTAGCCAGAGATACATGACGAGGGCCACCTTCCTTTGCCAGGTGGGATCACGGCCCATAGGCCAGTGTGTGTGTGTCCTGGCACGAGGCAGCGAGGGCTGGCCTGTCATTGGGAAGGAGCAGCCGGGGTGATGCTGCTGTCCCAGCGTGCACGTCACGCCAGCAATTCACGGTGGCATGACTCTCTCCAGGCCTCTCCCAATTCTCTCTCAGCTTCTCAGATGATGATTCTTTCCCTCCTTCTCCTTCACTGACTTTTCTACCCTACTCTTTTCCCTAAAATGCTGGAGGGCCGAGCTCAGCTTCTTCTCTGGGGCCTTCTTGCATCTCTCGGAATCTCTCATCTATTCTATGGCTTCTAATTGTTACTTGGGGGTGACTCTCCGATCCCCATCTCCATCCCACCCTCTGTCCTAAGCCCAGGCTCATGTGGATATTGAGCCCCCTACTGAACCCCTCTCTGAGGTGTGCTTCAAACTTGGCACGTCCAAAACCTAACTCTGTTTTTTCCCAAATCTACTCTTTTCTCTGCCTTCCCCAGCTCAGCAAAGAGTGTCACCACCCAAGGTGGCCAAGCCAGACACCGCAGGCCTCTTACGCTCTCGCTTTCCTTATTCCTCACCCTGCATCATCATCAGTTGCTGTGTCCCTCTGTGCCGTCCCACCCCCTCCCCCCTCCGCCACTCTTCAGGAGGCCCCAGCGACAGTCCAGTCCCTCTCATCTCTCACCTGCCGCACTGCACGTGTCCCCCTGTGGACAGTCAACTCCAGTCCCCCCGACCCACACACATCCCAATCCCTTCTCCACTGCTGGAGTGAACTTTCTAAGACACAGATCTGACAAAATCACCCATTGCTTAGAATCTCGTCAGTGGCTCTTCATCACAGACAGGGTCAAGTTCAGATTCCTAGCACAGAGCACAGGCCCTTCCAGAAAAGAATCCCAGACAGACCTTTATAGTCTGTCTCTTAGTCTTCTCTTACGTTGCTTCCAATTTACCAGACTAGACAATGCTCCCTTTTGGACGCACCAGGGAAGCCAGCTGAGGAAGTCAAGTCCTGCTTTCAGAAGGGCTTTGAGCCCCCAGACTCCCTGCTACCTGAGGGGCCCAGGTGTGGCTCTGCCAGAAGGCTGGAGAGAACAAAGTGGCTGTCCACCTTTCAGGGCCCCCAGGGCCTCTGCCAACTCCCAACACTTCAGCTCCATTGTTCCATTCTGATTTGCCACAAGATACAAGAATATTCTGAGAAGCAAAGCATCCTCGGTAATGTCTGTGATTTTCTGAAAGCGATTTTTCTTCCTTAGGAGGCCAAACTAAACAGGAGCAAAGGATGCTCACCATGCGCCTGCGCCATGCCATGCCAAGAGCTGCAGTCCTGCCAGGGTTGAAGGGTTCATACTCGGGAAGGATTCAAAGCCTTTTGGCCTTTCTTCCTCTTGTGTAGAACTCTCAAGGGCTGGCATCTGTGAGTGGATAAACCTCATCCACTGGGCAGTGGTCCGTAAATATTTGCTGAATGAACGGCTGGCTGGCTGGGTCTAATTCACCATCAGGATCATGCAGGCATAGATGCCCAAAAGGGAAATAACTTGCCTGGGTTACCCCACGTGCCCAGCAGCCCTGAGTGACATGATCTCCTTAAGTACAAACTTCCTGGAGCAGATTGAAGAGCTGTGTCTGTCTGCTCTATCCAGGAAATGCCATGGGCCTGACTGAAAGGTAGACTCAGTCTGGGGACACAGCACAGACTAAGGGGTGTAGGGAGCAGCAGGGGTTGGGGACAGAGAAGGTGTAAGGCCAACCCCCAAGGAGTTCCATCTCAAGAATTTCATCCTAATGAGGCTTGGCCCAGCTGACAGAGGGAAGGAGACAGGGCCTGTGACCTCCCTTCACTTTGTGTCACTCTGGGCACATTTTCAAAGGCAGAGATCCCTGGGAGATGCTAAGCTTTGTGTAACCTCTTTGATCCTCAGGAAGGAAGACCACATGGAGTTCAGCAACTTGTGAGGGGCATTGGCCCTGGATCAAAGAAGGCCACATGGGGAAGGAATGGAGTTCAGAGGCACTGGGGGCTGAGAGGCAGGTGGTAGAGAGAAAGCTGGCCAGAGCAAGAAATGTTTGGCTTCTGAGGTTCCAGCCAAACACTGCAGCTGCCACCAGACCGGGGCATTTGGTCTTCAGAAGCTTGGGCTGCAAGTGCTGAGCTGCATTCCAAATTTTCTGGCCCCAGAGTGAGGAACCTGCAGAATGTGAAACAGAAGCAGTGGTGTCAGGCATGGACAGCGCATGGAGTCAAGCCCAGGTTCAACACAAGCTGTGCCAGGTAGTAG